TGTTAACGTTGATTGGAATTACATAAACTAAAAAAAACAAAACAAAGTAATCTTCCGTTTAAGTTTGTATCTTGTCAAGTAAGTATCAAGGTATAAAGATTTTTTACTTTCAAAATGACAAATTTAAACTTATTTTGATACAACTTGAACATTGTTTTAAAATCATCAAATTTTTACTCAAGCTCTTTTCAAACTTTGGAGAAGAAAAACTGAAATCAATTTGCTTCTAAAGCGATTTGAATTACTTAAATACAATAGCGTATCCTAAATCCAAATTTGATTTTTGAGAGTAGGAAATGTTATCATCATTTTGAGAATCTCTTCAACAATCTTCATTCAAAGTATTTGAAAGCATTGTTCAACAATGAACATACTCTATGTACAATTTGTTTATTCACTTTTGCTTTTACTTGACTAATATAGAATAAAGAAGTGGCGATCTTATATGCAAATAAATATTTTTGTTTTGCATATCAATGTGCAAGAAATTTTTGTCAATTTTTACTGTAGTGTTTATTAGATCTTTGAAATTTTTTTTACTAAATGATTAATATGTACACTTCTAACATTTGAAGTTTTTGTCTTGGTAGTAGGTAACAAAACAAACTGATGTTGTACATATTGTAGAAGTTATCAATCATATTGTACTATAATTGTTTAAAGTTGGTCTGAAGTTACCAATAAATCAGAATTGCACTTAAGCTACTCTTTTGTGAAACATCATCTTTTGGTATCCCCAGAAGACTTGAATTGAATTAATCATTATCGCGATGATTAAAATTCACTTTCAAAATTGATAAACTTGATGAAATTTTTTTTCAGATTGCAAAATGTTGAAATAAGGATATTGGCACAATGCTTGCTGTCAATCTAGATGGAAAGCATGTCTTCAAGCTTGATGAAATGACCAACAAAGTATCAGAAATGTTTTCTTTAACTTCATCCTACATTAACACATATAGTTTTATGCATTTGTTGAGCTTGTATCAAACTTTTTTAATAGCTACTTCATTAATTAATATTGTACTTACACAATAAAAATCTTATATTCAAACATCCATCTTCTTCAGATTTTCTATGATATTTCATCGTTAAGTCTTATTAATAAAGCTTTTGTTTGATTTCTTTGACATTGTAATTATTTTATGATATTGCATCATAGAGATACATTGAAGAGTTTCACATTCAGTTTGTTTGACATTACACTTGAATCAAACAATCTAAGCGTGCCCCTATCGACTTAGTATTAGAGTCCTGCATTGGACTTGGACAACTGTTCTTACACCCGATCCATAGTTGTGCATGGATCAAATGTACCCAACCATTATCCATCCATGACACCTTGTACATATCCATTATCTATTCAACTCATACTCATCATGTCCATCATCAAAACAAAGCTACTTAAGAGTACTTGAAGTGTTTTTAAAAAGTTCGTGCCAATGAAAATCTAAGTATTGGGTTGAATATGCTAAAAAGTTTGTTGTAGATCACAATCTTCTGCTTTTTTCCACTTTGATCTACAAGCCGTTCTCATTTAGTAATGTGTAAAGCGTGTGTTTACAAAAAGGTATTTTATTAAGAGTATGAATTAAATATTTGGCGAGTTTATGACAAGTAATATCTAATGAGCAAAGTGTGCTGATTAGCTAGGAGCAATCCGCGAGCACAATTAGTTAACTCAGTTGTTCTAACATACCGGCTTACTCATATTCATCCATTATCCACCCACTGGTCAAAGCCCATATTTATTACCCACCCATTGTGACATGGGTATAGGTGGGTGTGAGTACCCGTTGCAGTAATTTCCTTAGTACACAAATATTCCATGTTCAAAATTTATACATAGACGGAAATTACATTCAATGTATTAGATCTACAATAATATATATGAAAGGATTGAATAAGAATAATTTTTTTTTAAAACGATTCAATAAATATATTACAATTAACAGGGTTCATTTAGATTTGTCAAATTTTGTAAATGGTATTTAATTTGTAAATTTAATTTTCAAAAGAACTATATATGTGAAATAAACATATAATATCACATTGATCATCTCAATCATCTTGTTGTGAAGTTACAAAATTTTGAGTTTTTTTATCACATATAATACTTTTTATGCCTCATCAATACGGGGCATTAGAATAATTTTAACAAATAATGACAAATTTTATATGTACAAAAGTAGTTAGATTCAAATTTTAGGTTTTATTTTTATATTTAATCTTATGCATGTTAAAAGTAATCTTGGTCAAATTAATTCTGTAATTGAAACAGTTTAAGGTTTTTTTATTTTTTGATTGTTAAATCATCTAAATGATTTAATTATCTCAAAATCAAACTTAAATATGTCTTTTTAATTTTTATTTTAGATCTTGATTAATTTCTGTTAGTTATAATTAATGCAAAACTATTCTTATTATACAATAAAACTTATTGACACTTTTGTGATACATTATGTTATCTGTAAATAAAGTTTTTAATTTGTTTCTGTTAAAGTGACATCAATGAAATGAGTTATAAATGTCTTGCATTGGCCATCAAACAACTGTTTTTTATTTCCTTATGAAGATGGTTCAAGCAAGTATATATCCAATGAATTATGTTTATAAAATTTAAAAACTATAAGTTTTCATTGATGTTTGCTACAAATATTTTTTTAGATTTTTCTCAAAATCAATAATTTGATCAATTATTTTTAACTTAAATATTTAAATATGAAACAAATTATTTGATTAAAATTTTTAATTGAATAATCACCCATTGAAATAATTCAAATTTCATAATATATTTTCAGTAATTGGTCGTAACATAAGAAAAGAAAATTGTGACAATTTTTTAGAGAAATTGAGAATGTTTCTGGATTTATATGGATGAGGTTTTTTTTGAAAAATAATATAGTTAAAGCATTAATGATGTACTTGATCATTAACTTAATTACTAAACAATCAATCACACTTATCTTTGAAAAAATGTGGCATACTTATTTACGTACAGAATTGAAATGATTTTAGAAATATTACTCTACAGAGTTAAACCTCCCAATAGTGTCACCTCCTATGAATGACATCCTCCCATTAGTGACATTAAAGTGTTAAATCATTAATTTTAACTTATAAATCTGTTCGATAAGAAACCTACGTCACTATTGGCAATAGTGACATGAGAAGATTCAATAGTGACATGGTGGAGCTTTAATGACTATCATAATTATCGAAAGTATCCGGCAAAATTATATTTTTTTTCTATGCTTCCATTGAGGTTGAATCATGATTGTAACTAATTTATGAGAAGATTGAATGCGTCAAATGTTAACTGCTCTTGTTATCATCTGCTACTTTTCCTTGACAAACATCAAATATATGACTAACAAGACAGGTCCCAGAAATACGTGGATGTTCTGATTTTATGCTCGGGGCATAAGTTAATGAAGTGTGAATCTGAATTTCGTGATGAAATATATCTTAACTAAATTGATATCATTTTGCACATCATTTGTAGAAAGGTTGTTCCAGGGTGGCGTTAGTGCTCATTGTGATCCAAACACTTTGTGTTGAGATAAACCGAATCATATAAGGGACAAATTGAAAAATTCAATTTCAACTAGAATCTTGGGCTCTTCAACCAGCTCAAATTTCTGAGTCATATAAGGAAAAATAAAAATTTAATTTTGACAATTGATATTCATGTTGATTATAACCACTATTGTAATCTAGATAGTTTTGCAAAATTTACCAAGCAGAATTGGTTCCTAATATTTCTCAAACGAGAAAAATTACTTCTCGATTTAGCCATGTAATTCTTTGAGTAGTAAAAATCTTATATATACAGTAAAGAACATAAATCTTAAAAAGCTTATATAGTAGAAATTGTTGATATACAGGCAAGTAAAGAAATCTTCTTATCGTGAATATCAAATAATTGTAATTTCATTGATCATTGTTGATGTAAATTCAAATTTGAACCGTCAAATGAACAGCTATGAATGTATCCAGGATCTGCTGAACATGCAATATGAATGTATCCACGTGATACACTAAATATTATCCCACCTTGCGTGAGTGACAACCCCCACCCCCCCTCCTTTGGGCCATAAGGGTTCGGGTTGTTTTTAGTTTGGCTGCATTTTTATTGATCAGCCATGAATGGTCATTGTTTTGACAAAAACAAAAGTAAACGGTTATGCTAGAAGGTGCAATATTAATTGGAGCAGGAGCAGGTACCATTGCTTTAGCGGGAGCTGCTGTAGGTTTTGGGAACGTTTTTAGTGTGCGCCTCGGCAGAGCGCGTTTGGATCAGCGAAGGTTAACAGATTATCGCACGGCCTTACCCCTAACCTGTAGCGGGAACAGACCGCAGGAACCATAGCATGGGTTTCGGCTGAGTTTCGTCGCACGGTGTTCACGAGTGCTTCAGAGTCAAGCGTTACTCCCTCCAACGAAGGAGGCCCGGAAGGCACTAATACCTTAATTCAGCCAGTCAAAATAGCTTCTGTTTATCAAAGTGCCTCTCTAATTGCTCAAGAAATATCTTGGAAACTAGAAAAAAAAAATCATTTCGACAAATATGTAGATCTATATTTAAACAGATTAAAAATGACACGTGCCAATATTGACATAAAACTATAGAAACAATGTATGTCATTATTGGGAGGTTTAACTCTTTAGTATGATGTTTGAATTAATTTGAAGATTGAAATGTAATTACACGTGTGATACAAAGGATGACATATCTCTCGTCATTATCGAACCTTATTGATTGATTTCCTCGGAAACTGTTACAACCCTTGCTTTATTTTCGCTTCATCTTCGAAGCATTCATTAACTTTAGCTGCATTGAATGCGGCTCTTTTCTACCTTCCATTCCACTTTGGTTCTCTTCATATGATCATTTTGCAGACCGAAAGAAAATTCTGATTTCCAACTACGACGTTGAGTTGTCTCTCGTCTTTCGTTCATTCCTTCTTCTCCCCAAACCTCGACTGTCAGCTTTTATCTCGACTTTCGATTGTCTCTCAACTGACAACTGCGTCTCCAGACTGCGGAAGCCGTTCATTCTTCCGACCATCTCTTTCCAACTGTAATGTAATCCTCAATCCATTGGATTGTGATTTCTTACCACGACAAAAGTGTGAGAAACTACGTGAAATCACGTAACGTCGTTAGACAACGACGGCGGTGGCATCCGCAGTTGAGAAAGTCCGGGCAGGCCTCTACTGTGGTATGTCCATAGACTGATCGGCGATGTTGGGACGGTCGGAAATTGGACAGATCGTCCGCAGGGAGGGAGGCAGGGAGGGAGGGGCACCGAAGGAAGAGAGGATCCAGAAGCTCGGAGGCGAAGTATCTGATGGAAGATTATGATGGCGTCTGTTAATTCTATGCGGCAGAATTCGTACTCGACAGCTGTAGCTCGTGACGTTCTAGCGGACGGGCGTGCAGCATGCTACAAGGTCAGATCGTCTATTCTCTTGCGACATGGGTCGATTGTCAAGTGTGTCGAATTTGGAGGATTTCTGTGACACTTGGCTCCGGTCGGTCTCGTCGGAGTTTCGATCATTCTGTTGTACCGATCGCCTTTTCGGTTGATTGTACTGCTATGATTGAAACTGAGTCCAGCTAGAACTTGTACTCTGCTCTTTGTTGAGCTAAGGATCTCAAGCTCTGTCGCTGTCAACCCTATATCCACGTTTTGAACTTTGATTTCGTTTCTATTCCACTTCGGTGACCCTTTTGTGATAGCCTCCTCTCTTGACCTAATTCCAATCAGTAGGCGGTGTGCGTGGTGGGATTTCTCCTATGCTGAGCGCTCTTTAGAAATCGTGCAAATCAATCGGAAATCTTGAGCATATTTCTTGTCTCGGTCGTGATTAGACGAAATTATGTCCGAATGTTGGTCTTCGCTCTTAGTCCGCGCATTTTTGGCTTTACAATCGACCTGTCAGCCTTTTTAGCTTTGAATTATTCGAACTTGGGGGATGGATAATCAGTTCTGGAACTTCAAGGTCCCCGAGCTGTAGTCGGAAACTTTCTTCTTGATTTGTGATGGCTCGAGGATCTTCGGACCAATTCCCAAAATAAAAAATCTTCAAAATCAATTGCAAAATCCCCGTGGCTGTTTTAGTAGGGACAGCTGTGCGGTGCAATGTGGGCTTTGAAAGCAGATGTGACTGCATTACCACGGAGCGTAACATAATCTAGCCCACATTTACCGTCGATACTTTTTCTTGAAAGTAATTGAAACAGACCAGATGAGAATCATCGAAGTTTTGTGAAAGTCAAAATGTCTTTTGTGCTGATTCCGCAGCTTTTACCGCTTCTCCAGTTCAGTGGAAGGCACGCGAGAAGTGAAAACAGTGTTCGAATGCCCAACTTGACAGTCCAGAGAGAGCTTGAGTTGTTTTTATTGATGAAAGTCGATGTTGTTATAAGTTCTTCGAACATCTAACCCCTGATGGGATCGGGCTCCATCACCCTTAAATTATAGCCCCTGTGGGGGAGATGACTTGTGCTGTACTTGTCGCGCTAAACATAACTGGTTTTATGGTTAACAGGCCAGGGATGAGTTCTATGCGTGCCTTGACAAGACGTCTGGTTCTACACCCACTGAAGTAGCATCAGTCGGGCTTCTATACTCGACTGACTGCAAACATGCTCGTGATGACTACATGAAGGCCTGCCGTCCCACATGGGTAAGTTGCTCTAGCAAGCCTGTTCTTCCAGATTTTTACAAAGCTTCTGGCTTCCAAGTTCCCTCCCAATCGATGTCTTAAAGTCTTGAATTTTCACTACCTTCACAATATCTAGAGCTTCTGATAGTGAGTAAAATGTCACGTTCACCGTTTCACGCACAGCGAGTTAGTCTATGCTGCAGAAATGATCTTTGAGTCTTAGAATTAAGCAATGTTCTTTCCAGCTTAGTCCCTTCGGTGGGTGGTTGTAACAGGTAAAACATTTTGATCGTCAATATGCTGGAAAGAAGCGTGTAAAACGTTTGCTTGATAAAGATACAACCCAAGGAGGTGGCGCGTTTACTCTACCTCAAAATATTTCATGATACTCGGAGGGTTAGGAGTTTTTTCTTTGTTTCCTTTATCATTATCAACACAGAAATTATCATGAGAACAACTGCAGCCGCTGCGCTCAGGTTGGACTTCGGATCTTGTGCAGACATCAAGAATTTTTGAAGACTTGCATTGAGCCGGACGACTTTCACCAGAAAGGTCTTCGCAGATTTTGGGGATTCGGCAAGCTAGTCCCTTTGTAGAGTTCTGGATCCACAGGTACACAATTGTAAATCCTAGACGTATTTTACACATCACCAAAGAACGGTGTGATGATGAAGCAATTCTTCGTCTTATCAGCTGAGTTCGTTCGTGGCCGTAAATGTTAGGTTCCTACAAAGCGGGACCACTATCATTACCTTCGATCCTTTTGTGATTGCTTGGAGGTGCCTTTGCCCGTTGTGCTAGAATGTTGGAGCTAACTATGAACGGGGTGGCCTCATGGTACTGACCTATGTACACTGGGCATTTATCGAAGAGAGGGAAAATTGGTGAAAATAACTTGAAATTTATTTAGCTAGTAAAGTTTGTAAAGTACTTGAGGCCAAACTGAAGCGTGGTCATACCAAATCTGTGGATGTAACGGCACGCATCCTTTCACGCAATCTATAGATATTCGAGATTCAGATGCCTTTTACCTTTCAACTCATGCTATGATTGTAGCTTGTCACTGTGGCTCCCTATTGTGAGATCCACGTTGACTAGAAACTAACTCAGTGAGGCTGATTCACACAGATAAGAGGATTCTCGACGGAGAAACTTCTTGAAGCCATCGAATTTCTGCATGTCTTGCGAAGAAGAGATTGGCCGGACCTTGTCACTATTTGCAGCACTTCCGACCCCAATTTTCCCGAAGCTAGACTAAACCATCCTGTAATCTACAACCAGTTGAACACCAGCCACAGTCGGTTTAAATCAATGAACTAGGCAGAAACACGAGAGTTCAGACGCACGGAGAGCATCGTCTGGCACTTCATGTCACTGTGCAGGGAACTGGGTATTGAAGCAAACTGAAGAGGTTACGAAGGACTAAAGCGGATACCTCTTGTCTACATTGCCCTCGTTGCCCAAATGACGGTTGAACGCATGTCGGCGCCAAGGGAGAATTCCGAGGCAGTTAGCACACACACAAATAATTTAGTTGCATAGGTTCGGTGCCACCGAGACTGAATCTGCGAGCATGAAGGCTCCAAGGCTTCAGGATTGGAATGCTCTTCATAGTCTTCAATATATATTCCACGAAATAAATATGACCTTCACGCGTGGGTGTGTAGAATTTACAACAATACAGACGATAACCCCCAGCCCTTCAGAAGCTGCTGGAGCTGATGGTAGTTCCTCAGGAAAAATGTGTTGATCACTTGGAAGCCTGCAGAGTCCGCAATGTATAGCCTACCGTGTAAAGATGTGATCACAACGGATTCTCAATAGACAACAAGTTCGCAGGGAGCATAGTTTCTAATCATAAGAAGTTGATACATGCAGATTTTGGTCTTGAACATAAGGATGTTGTCAACCTGTCTTAAACCAAAAGAAAATCAGAACTTCTTTGCAGTAGCCTATAGTCTTCGATTTGATCTTGGTTGGTTTCACCATCGCGCAACTTTTAAGGCAATTTCCTGGTCCAAATCAGGAGATGAATATTTGGCGATGTCGTCTTACTCGTGGATTGTGATATTCTCCAGAAAATCCATGACAAATAGGCCCCATTGTTGGATTTCGAGCGAATGATCATATGATGCCAACACGCTCTATCAAGAAGGGTGTCAATCATTTTAAAACTCTGGAGGAGAGGAGTACAATTCAGCAAAAACAGCCTAATGCAATAAAACCATTGTCCTGCCTCGATAAATATACGACATTCCCTTTTGAGCTGGGTCAAAGTAGAAGTGAAGCTGATCTTGTAGATGCATGATGTTTATCTAGTATGTATTTGTGGTCGATCGTCGGGACAATAAGTCGGACGTGCTTTTCGTAAGGGCAGGGCAGAGCAGAGCAGAGCAGGGTGACCCTAGAGTCTCGGAATAGACGGTGGACCAGATGGTCGACATTGATGTCGCACTCGATCATGCTGTCCAGGAGATTCTGCACGTTGATCGGGGCTGAAGGAAAGAAGCATACTTTCGAAGTCAAGCACGCAGATCGAAACTTGGGAATGAAGAATTTGTCACCTAGCGCCTGTAGTGCATCTGGCAAGAGGCGCCAAGCCAGGCTCGCAAATTTCTAGATCTGGAACAAATTACGAGACTCCAGACGATTTGCTAGCTTACCAGCCGCCGTTGGGACAGTTCGAGCTTCCAAGTCATCGTATGAAGCATTGGGTGCAGGGACGAGCCAAACCAACAGGGCACAGCACTTCGGGTACGAATACTCTCCACAGAACCAACCGTTGGAGATCAGATAACCATGCGAGAATATAAATTCCCTTGAATAGACTTGACACAGTCCTTGACAATTGCATATATATCAAGACAAGTCAAGGAGGATTCGAGGTTCCAAGCTCTTTAAAATAAAGGCTTTTACAATAGAATAAGGTTCATGAAAGACTTAGGCAAAGTTAATCAATATTGGCAAGCACCTCCTCCTTTGCTGTTGTTAAAAAGTGGAGAGCTATTTCAAAGGTAAACAATTTCCACTCGAAAGATTTATTTACTAGTTGAAACTACTTACATAAAATATTCTCGGCATAGAAGTCTTTCGTGCAGATGGAGCATATCTGTATGCAAAAGATTAAAGTTGAGTAGATTTTACACAAAAGAAAAAACCATATTTCAGAAATATAATTAATCAAAACGTGGACTTCTTCTGAATAAGTACGATCCAACGTATGCGGCCATTTCTCCAGAATAGCCACTCTTGCCGGCACGCGACAAGAAATAGAAGTCTACTGCTTTCCTTAAAGCACTGTGATTTCAGGCTGCGGGAAAAACCAGAAATCTTCCTCGCTGGATTCGTGGGAAAGTCCATAGTCCAGCGGCTCCGGCCTAGGCGGAGAGCATTCACGTAGCATGTGTCGGTAAACCATGCATGCCTGCCTGCCTGCCTGCATGCGTCTGAGGCTCTGAGCGCGTGAATAACCTTCATCTTCACCTTCATCTTATCGGGCAGTTCCGTTGCCTAGCGTAGGGATCGGATCGCCCGATGGCTCTGCATGGATTGGTCAACTCACACCGTCGGAAGGAATATCGGTTGCGACTGGGTGCTGGTCGTGCTGGATTTCGGTCGAACGACAGGGGCTCCATGCTTTCTCAGTCTTCAGGCATCAGAAGAATCTCAGATAGCTTACAGTTTGCAGGTCGCGACCTCTACGTTTACGTGCTACGATTTCTGAAAGTAGATGGAAGAGAGCGAAGTAGAGCGGACGGAAGGCTGAGTCCGGATCCAATGCCTGGCGGGAGTTCAACAGCGACGGACGAGATCGAGCTTTATTGTCGTTTTTTGCTCTTTAAGTGTTTTATATTTACGTGGTTCCACTCAACAGGATTGTGCATTTTCAATCTTACGAGAAATGTCAGTTTGACAATTGTAGAGAGATCTTCATCGACGTGATACTTTATAATACAAGTCACCAGAATGTGAAGTAAGACAAACAGCTGGCCATTGGAGGCCCCAAACAAACGAACGCTTGAAGACTTCATCTGTAATCTAAAGCTCCACCGTACTCAGGTGAATAATTGGAGAAACCACTTGGGTTTCCTAAGTCTTCCATAGATGAAACATAGGGGGCAGATGGGACTAGGCCCTAAGACCATCATGCTGGAAACATGTCCTCCTGCAACTAAGATCTCCTAACTATCTAGGTTTGTGAACTGTACCTTACACCTTTATAAGGAAAGTTCAACGTTTGTTATCTTTAAAGCCTCACATAGTTTGACTTCATAAATCAAAATACAGCAAAATCTGCTCTATCTCTCATGGGTTTACCATCCTCATAGGTTACCCCTTATATTCTTCAATTTTTTTAAATCTAAGCATCAATTATTATCGGGTTATTGACACCGAAATGGTTTCAAACTATATATATATCATAGAGAGGCCCCCTATTCATTCAAATGTTCGTGTTCATAACTTGAAAAAAGAAGAAGCATTTCCCGTTCCCATGGATTTCAAGATCCCGGCTCCCAACATTCCTGCTTGAAGCAGAAACGTTAGGACTTTGTGACGACCGTCTGGGTCATGAAAGGTGAAACCTCTCAAAGCTTTAATACAATAGATAAACGAGTGCTGAGAGGCCCCATGCGGCCAAAATTCGAGACAGCAGATTCTTCAACCTAGTTTGAAAACAGATAATCACAAGCCTTAGGGCTAGATCCAAGGAAGCGACTTTTTTTATGCTAAAACTGACGCCATTAATTCACAGTCTTACAATATAATAACGAAATTATCTGTTTTTTTCCATTTTTTATAAAATTTCTTAGTTTTGAAAATGATTATGATCCGCCTGGGGAATACGGTCGCAACCTGAAACTGTGCGCCATTTCACGATTTCAATTTTGATATCACACACATTCCAATGATATAAAGGAATCAAGACTTCTGTCTGAAGATACTAAATTTTCAACGTAGTCCAAACATTTTCAGCTGTATAAAATCATAACAAAATCATACAGATTCCAATCTAAATCGTGATGATGCCTACCAGTTAAGGATAAGATCTATGCAGCAATTTTTATCATAAAAAATGGAACTTTTTTTACTCAAAAAATATGGAATAATATCATCGCTGTCGATTATAATAATAGTATATCTAGTATTTATACCGGCAAGCTTCAGTTGTATAAGAAGATTGACGTACACATGTACCTTGTAATATGTCATTTCATCTAAATTAAGTTCTTAATAGAATTTATGTGAAGTAAAAAGTACATATTAGAACAGATTAATAGAATTTTCAAAATAAATATCAACCTTGGGCTATATCTAAGAACGACTTCTTTTAAGAGAGATCAAGAAACTCTAACAAAACAATGTGAATGCAGTTCTGCACAGTATCTCATCGTAACTGAAATAGGATATTCAAGATGTTTGTTCATGTATCTATTTGTCAGATAGAATTGAAAAAATTCTATCTCACAATACATAAAATAAACATTTCATGCCATATTCTATATTTCGAAAAAATTTCATACTTCTTTGGCCAAAGAATTTCAACGGGCACTCCTCGTCCTTATGACCAATGGATCCAATTGACTAGTGAGATAGGGTTGATGTGGTTTGTGGGATAAAGTGGCGAGTCAAGGTGTTTCAGGTCGAAATTCTTACTGTCGCAAGGACAGTTATATAAAGTGGTGGCACAATCCATTTGATTTCATACAATGTTATACATTTTTTACGGCTTAATAGGAGTATAGTATTATATTATGATCATTGATTTATAAATTTTTTACATAATTCGAACTTAATGAGTAATTTTTGCCCCTAACAAGTAATTAACTGGTTTATTGAAACTTTTTTTCACACCTTGGTAAGGCAATATGATCAAATAGAAACTTCAATACAGTTATCTTATGATTAGATTCTGATATGTTCCACACCCTGCTTTATAGCTTGACTTACAACACATGAGTAAATTATGTTTCCAACATGTAGGATCCCCAAATCAAACGCCCCACTATGGAGAATGCAGTTATTGGCAAGCTACGAAATGTCCTAATGGAGTGGATTGATGTCAGGCAGGCAGGCAGTTGCCCACTTTCATTCGCATCCTATGAAATCTCCAAGCAACGAAGAAATTGAACCCGGTAATGAAAGTGCACCATGAGAAGATTGTTTTGCACCCGACAGCCGAAGGATCGTAAACACCCGTCCGTCACACAGCAATCCTAAAATGAACAACGATAAACCCAGATGTGCTTGGAGACAGTGGTGTATCTCTCAGTTAGTTGAAATTCCCTGCCAAATCTCGAAGAACTTTGAAGTGGCTTCAAATCTAAGCGCCATGTGGGAATGTCGAGTTCTGATCTTGTGAATACGTGGGCCCGAGAGACCATCGAATGATTCCTGGTGATTTCCTCAGCTCTATATCTTATGCATGTACTCGCTTACCTTCTACCTCCTTGTTACTGGCCCCCTTCGAGGATAACAAGATCTACGACAAACATCGCGAGTTCAAAACTCGCGGAATTCATAGACACCAGGCACAAAGTCGAGCAAAACCCTTGTCGTTGTTTCATGGCTGCGAACGTCGACGACGCATGCATGAGGAGCTGACCGAGAGAAAAACTGTCATGCACGCCACGTGTAGGACTCGAGTATTTTCCACTTGGGCAGCACTCGGGCTCCTCATGCGTCGTGTTGCCTTTTGCCAAGTGGAGACAGAGGCTTTGAGACTGGATCTCGTGATCTCGATCGACCTCTTTCCGAGACGTTTATATAGACCATGGAAGCTTTGTCTCACGATCAAACTCCCGCGTCTCATCCCTCACTTGCACCTCAGATCTATCTCTCGACTGAAATATCGTAAAACACTGTCCTAGCCACCGAGAAGTCGTGTGTACCGTCATGGCTAGTTTGACCAGTCTCTTGGGTCAAGGACAATTGGCATCCCTGCAAATTTTGGGAGGATCGCGAGCCACCACAGCAGTCGGGCAATCGTCTCGCAGCAGGGTCGTCGTGATGTCGGCTTCGCCCTGCATCAAGCAGAGGGTAAGTCGGTGAGGGCAGCTCGCCAGATAGAATCTGCTGCGTTTAACGACGCCATGTCACATGATGTCTCAATCAGAGGAGCCGGAATATGCTGCATGAACCTTCAGGTTACATACAGCACTGGGATGTTGACCTGAAGTCGATATTTCATCTCTCTGACTCGAATATCTTGGACAACGGATGAAGATGTTTGATTATTCTCTCCGCTTCCATCGGTCAGGGCACAAAGAATATGCTCCGGCTACTCGCGTACCGTGAAGTAAAGCACCACACATATCATGATCAGGGCTTCCATTTATAGCGCGCTGTTTCTCGTTTGACTGCCATGTTAGAAATTTCATCTTCCTGTATGACTTCTAATCACTCGATCCCGTAATTTATGCTCATACCTGAAACTCTGGGCCAGTCCTGACACACGTCGACGCAAATTCCAGAGGCTCGCTATAGCGTAGCGTCGATTACGTTGATTCCAGCATTAATTTATTCCCATTTTAATTTGTATCGGGGAAACCGGGGAAGGTGAGGAAGCGACGATCGAAGCGAAGTATTCAACCTTAAGCAAATCTGTGATGGATTCTGCATGCAGGATGTGGAGCCTGAGACTTCGGGGAGGCGCACTATGCTCATGAGTACGTTGCTGATGGCGGGAAGCTTACTAGCTGTGGGCCAGTCCGAAGCAGCCATGCAGAAAATCGAAGGAGGAAAGCGCGAGACCCAGGAGGCCTTCACGAGGGGCATCACCGAGCCGTCAAATCTGAGTGCTGCTAAGAGCAACACCATTCAAGAATCAGCGAGGTCAAACGCCCAGGTAATGAATTCTGCCATAGCTACGGCTTGAGTTCAATCGAACCAGTCGTCGTCGTAGCTGATGCAAGAAAGGCATGATATGTTAGATGAACAAGGTACTGAACCCCAGCTTGAGCTCCGACTACGATCGAACTTTACGTCTTAGTTCAGCCATCAGCAAGCAGATGATGAAGTCCTGGAAAGAGAAAGAATCTTCTGCGTAAGACAGAAGGTGGGAGGAGATTTCCATCCCTGTAATAGACTTCAGTCATGAACGTGAACAGACGACCCAGGGACCAAATCGAGAGGCATCTTCAATCATCTCGTATGTGACTCCCTGAACCTCAGAAAATAAATCTGCAATCTGAATGTTACTGATGGATGATGTTCGGACCATGCAGGCATCGGGGGGCGTAATTCTGGGAGCTGCAAAAGATACTCCTCGCGGGGCGTACAGGACCTCGCAAACTACCGACGAGAAAACATCTGAGCCCGGAGTTACGAAGATGTCACAGCCCGAAAACCTTCTGAAGAAGCGCGCCGAAGCAGCTGGGCAATGAGGCCATCAGCCAGGATTCTGAGGCTGACTATTTGACGACAATCCTTTGTACTTTATTACAATCCTTCGCCGACTACGACCCAAACAGGGCCGTCATGGAAATTTCCCCAAAAAGTAGTATCAGTAATGAGGAGGACGTTGCTGCTTTGTCGGTGCTAGCCATAAAGCAGAGCTCGTGTATTCCATGTGTGCGCTACGCAATCACTTCTTCTTTGCTGGATCGTACTTTCCCGGTCATGTCAGCGTCCAATAAATGCCGGTTGGACAATTCAGCGTCTAATCTTATGCCAACTTTCCGAAATTCAATCGACTTGCAAATGTCGTTCTTGATACGAGCATGTGTTAGCTTCTTGTCAGCTGCTTCTTATCGTCTTCCATACCTCTTCCAGTATTGTTTTATGCCTCATGGTTTTATCTGTGTGCGCTCACTCATATTAAGTACTTATTCCATGACCTGTGTATGAGTTGTATTGAGCCTCCTTTGCTCACCGTGGCATGACTGACGCTACTTTAATGACAACTGAAGGTGGTTTTCACGAAAGTGATATTGCATTGTTATATTGTATACCTTTGTAAAAGAAAATTTCACGGAAAAATATAATACAAGCAAGTTCCGTTACAATTATTTTTACAAATTTTTTACGCTTATGTACAACTCAATCCGACCAATATTCCACCAATGAGTATAATAAAAAATGAAAAAAAAAACATCAAAAAAGGAAATATAAATTAACAAAAGAGTGAATATAAAGAACGTTGGAAGAAAAAAAAAGTTATATCTAATCTCTTCATAAAAAAATTTACAAAAGAACTTTACACATAGCCCTTTTATAAACAACAATCATATGATATAATCTCAGAAGTGCTTTTTGAACAAATGTAGACCACAACTTAGGTCTCTGCTGAAAATTGTGTGCAATGTACAAAACCGACTCCTTTCTTCAGTCACATTGCATTATGCATAGTTAAACCTAACACCCTAGCACCTATGTACGTCACTATTGGAAGTGTCGATCACAAGAGTTAAGTGAGTAACCTTGAGTATAACAACATGCAACATACATTTGATGTAAGAGTTAGATATCACTATTGGGAAGTGTTACTTATAAAAAGAAAGTGCAAAGACTTCTTATATAATGAATGAGTACTAGGATATTCGATAAATGTGTTGTTTGGTTTGAAAATGGCATTCATTTGCACATCTGTATTATTCAGATGAATGTAAGCGTTATAATTGCGTTTGAATTCAGATTAATACACCAAATTCTAGTGAAATAATTGATGATAATATATATAGCGAAGTATTTTAGTGAAGCCCAGGAAGAGTGAATTGTTGATATAGACCTTTGAATAAAAATATGTTTCATAGCTATGTATTGTGATCATGATAATAATTTTAACTCTGAAATTACATTTGAAATTTTCACATATTGGATAGTATAATGTCATTATTGCAAAAATGAAATATTGAACAAAGTTACAAATTAAAAGCTAATGGTTTTGGAATTTTAAATCAGTAATAAGAAGATGTCACTCGGAAGTGCAGACACTACCGGGAGTTAAAACTCTCTAATCCTTTCTCTGCGTACCCACTAGCTAATTCTCCTTGGATCAGCATCTATCTTAGTGTTCAACGAAAAAAGAGCGTGAATGGATGTCCGATAGAGGTGTGAAACCTCTTATCCTTTGAATTCATACCAAACTTACATTGAAAGTATATACTTTGATCCACTACTTTAGGGATGGAAGACGTATCAGATCCTTCAGATAAATCCGAATTCCGTTACATCAGAAGACAACTTAACAGGGAAAAGTCAGAGACCGATGCGTAGGTCAGCGCAAGTCCTTTTCAGTGTTGATTCCAGTCAGGAGGTGGGTAAGACAGGTGCAATGTCGTCCTATTCACCCTGAAATCACGACGGAGCCGGTACGTATGCCGAGTCTCCAAGCGGACACTGTTGAGCGATAAGTCTCGTTGACTGGATTAGTTTTCCGTGAGCTTCTAATGCATGCTGAACGAAAAAGGGTGTACGATTCGACTCGAGGTGCCGCCCGCTGTCGAATCAAGAATCGAATATCTACAGTCGACTCGTGAATCCTTTTTTTAAAATCCTTTTCCCCATTCGACCGGGAAAAGGATGGTCGCTGCTCCAACGTAGATGTCTATGTTCAAATGACGATTGTATCTTCCACTCGTCCGTGTCTCTCTCTGTCCAGGCTGTGCCCGAAGCTCGTGACGCATGAAAAGAAAAAGCCGAAAGTGCAGCCAGGACGTAGAAAACAAGTTGCATATTCCATATAAACAATTGATTGAGAAGAGAATAGTACTGTGGAGCCAGGGCATGTAAGGAACTTTCGATGCTGCAAACTAGCCATGGAACAATCGAATTTTAATGTGCAGTCTTGTTACGCCTAGTACATCCTCTCCATCTGGTAACAGAATAGAAAACATGAGGACGACACACATAGAACCATCACCCAGAAGTAGAAGCATGCAGTCGAAACTGTGATTTGTGGCTGAATGAAAATCTAAAGACGTCGATACACCGAAGTCATCTCGTGGAGAAAAAGTTCAGAAATCTTGATCTATGATTCCATTGTTTAGATCCACACGAATAACTCAATCTTCAAGGAACAGCAGACATTCTCCAACACCACCTCGGCTCTAACTGTCTGCGATCTTTCTGGCCAGGCTTTTCTCGGCAACATCATCAATCAGCTCTGCCTACCAGATTCTAAATTCTGGAACTGAAACAAAGATCTCGTAAGGTCGGCCTTATAGTCAGGAGATTGCAGTCGCGACCAGCACCGCTGTGAGTTTGTTCAACTAAAATTTGATCTAAAGTTGTAGAAATGAGTCATCCTGAGTAACAGCTTCTCTACCAGCTCTCGGCCAACAACCTAGCCCCCGAGCCATTGCGCAATGTGATATAATCTTCAAATTGAAAGCCACGAGCGCTATGTCTACCTCTATGTCGCCCTTTCCGCTGCCGAATCACCGGTCGAGGAGGATCTGCAGGTTTCATCATATGTTTGATCATCTGTCCCGAAGCCTTCTCTCTATTCTGTTTGCTACCCATCTGCCTTGATGTCGTTCCCGGAGCCTGCACTCATGACTCGCTAGCCCACGAATGTCTGACTATCTACTCTACTCCATGAGAGCTCTCCACTGGTAGTCGAGTCGAACACGGCACCACTATCAAGGCTCCGCATCTATCAAAATGGCGGTCGAGGGGCAGAGTGACCGAAGTCGTGAATGATGGTGGGTTTCAGCTGATCAGATGCAAAGGGTGGTCGCAATTCCGGACACCATGACTGCGAACGTCGCGGTGAGGAACAATGTGAACAGAGCCCACTTGCGCTGGAATTTGTTCAGGTAGTCGTCGTGCGGTTCCTGGTAGTGAACTTCGAAGTCTTCCTCTGACACCGAGTCTGCGGGATTTCCTCTGAGAGCTTTCAGCTTCTCGGTGGCCAGAGCGAGAGTGAGCTTGTGGCATCTGCGTTGGTACTTAAATCCATTCACGGCTCTCAGGGTTTGAGCCATTGCGACGTAGAATATAATGTGAGCCAGAGCGCAGAGAGCTATGGGGGGCCAAGAATGACGACATTTGAGGCGATTGGAAAGCAGAACACCCACCAGTAGAATCGCCAGAAACAGATAGAACACCATGAACAGCTTCCATAGCTCCTTTTTCTGCAAGTCGACCTGCCGCTTCTTCTCTAAGGTCTTCTCGAAATGCACCTGGATGATGGACTGGAGCGCTTGATTGGCCGTGTCCCGAGTCACGAACACTCTCATGTCATCTGCTTGATCCCTGTCCACATAGATGGACTGGTGAGTGCCCTCGGTTTTGTCTGATCTCGAGCTACTCATGTTGATTTCTCTCTCCCCTTTTCGACTGAGCGCCACAGCTGAGACCGAGATGCTCAGCTCATTCCACTGCACTCGATTGCACCGGCTCCGCTACGCAGAAACGCCTGCTTCCTGACACTGACGAATTCCTCAGCTCCCCCTGTCCTGTCTAAAACTGACCTGGAGTTTCGGCAATCTGCTAAAACCGTGGAGAGGTTTCTCATGCTGCCTCCTCTTTACTCCGCACTTCGACAATGTGCAACATTTCTTGTCCCAACCCGGACTCCTCCTCTACTATCCTCCTGTTCTTGTCTTCTGCACCCAATCACCCTGTAGGACTGCTGAGAAAACAGCCAAACCTGACAATCACTCGAGTTCCTAGCTACCGCCGACGACCTATCGCTAGCTCTCGATCTCTCTGGTGGACAGTCCGAGAGTCCACACTCGCAGAATAAACTGGACTTGCAAAGCAATGCACGGCAGTGCGTCCTCTGCACTCACGTTCCTCTCTTGTTTCTCGTCAATTGTCTAGTAGGATCGCACATCCTGCTGCCGCTCCTCCTGCACATTTCGGAACGCAGCAAGCAACTGCCATCGTTCGTCGAGGCGAACAATCACCGGCACAACACGTCCCAATTCTTCTGCCCCTGCACTAACATGAGCTCCGTAGCCTCCTCTCTCACGAGCGTCCACAAGGTCCGAGCAGAGCAAATCGAGCAAGCAAGCAGGGAGTCTAGCCGTGGAGGAGCTTTTGCATGCTTCTCTGGCATTTTGTGCGATGATTTGTTCCTCCGTGGGTTGCAGGCAGTGCACGGTCGCCGATATTAATGAGCTCCGAACAACCTCCTGGCTTATGGATGCTTCTTGCGCGAGACATACTTCGAGGGACCGTTGGCTGTATCACCATTTATTGCTCTCCTTGCTGGACCTTTGCCATGCTTCCCTTGTTCTACTGAAGTTTGCACCCCCGAATTTTACCCACCCTCTCTCAGTAGCTGCACATTTGGCTGCAGCAGACCAGACCAGAGCAGAGCAGAGCCGACGAGCAAGTCTCGAGGCCTCCTCCTCCACTCTGCTAGGACCCGATGAGCAGTCCGGCGTAGTAGGACTACTGACTGCTGCTGTTTGCCTGCTGCCTGACTCAAGTGTTGGAGCTCTCGAGCACCGAACGTGCTGCAGTCAGGACTCAGATTTTGAGCAGCAGTTTGGGGGAGTGGGGTGGGGTGGGTAGGGCAAGGGCCGAGATCGACTACGAAGCCCTCTCATTAGTTCCATTTTTGCCCTTTGGTATTACGGGTACACAAATCTATATGTTCGTGTTAGCCTGCGTGACAGTTTGACAGTTTTTTTATTCAAATAAAAATTCACAAAATTTATTAATATAGGAGTATTGGTTGACGTGATCATATGATATATGTCATAAAATAAGCTAACTTTATAAATTAACCTTGAAAATAGTTTTGAACATTTATTAGTTAACCTAACCAATAAGCAGCTATTAGTAGTTGAAGTTCATCTCTTTACATATTCTGGATTCATCCCATATTTCAGATATTCATTTATCCGAACGTTTATGAAAAAGATCGTCTTTTATTTTGGAAAGAAATAACTATAAAAATTGCACATTTTAAATTAAACAAGTGTATTTATATATACTAATCCACTAATCCCTAGAAGAATCATTTCAGTAATGATTATTGAAATACTGTATGAATCATAGAAGGACTCCCCCAAATATATGGAATACATTAGGATCTTCAAAACAGGTGCTATATGGGGGCGCAACCCCTTTGGATTGATCCTCGATGGGAGGGTTTTCCAACCTTTTTGTTATTTCAAGGTGTCATTAACTCCCCCCACTTTGTGACCCGTTTAGCTAACCACATTAACTTAATCACGGGCCGCTTATTGGCGCAGTCGCTCTCGCTCCCTCGTTCGGGGACTATGGCGTAATCATCCGTGCGTGCCTCGCGTGGGCGGTTCAATGCTCCAGCCCCTAACTTCACTCGACTCGACCACTCGGGATCAGAACTCGGCGCTTATTTTTTCGAGCAGATCGACGGCTGAAAGAGCCCCTAGGCGCAGGATGACTAGCTCTGAGCCGTCGATCGGGCGAACTACAGTGAGGTCAAGTTAGTGCAACCCCCGGTTCGGGGTTCGGGGTGATGGCAACGGAAGGACCTTTCCCGAGGGACCTGCCGCGACTGCGGCGCTACGCCGTCTCGTTCCGCTCCAGCATACTGTACCATCCTCTCTACCATTCTACATGAACTACGTTAATACGAACTGTGTAGAGGTGGACAATCCCGTGCCCTTGCTACGGCTACTAACCGCGGTTAGAATGTCGGTTAGACATCAGGAACTAGGGAGCTCAAGTACCCGCGCAGTCGTTTCCTTCGTTCGATACTTTGTCGACTGGCTTCTTCCAAATCACCGACGCCTCTCGAGGTGGACAATTTTCATGGGGTGAAGTGAACCTTCGCCGAGCGAATAGAACATGACAGCATGAAGCATTTTCCCTCCTGCGAGCGACAAATGCGGAAACGCGTCCCACCTCGAAGAGAATCGGACATTGCTCGGACGATCTGTCGTGCCCGATGTGAATTTGGACCCATTAAGGAAATTTGCATGATCTCTCGATTACGAGGAGGAATCTTGGGTTCTAAAACATGATCATCAAGTGTTACAAAGTCAAGAGAGTTGCTCAGAAGATGGTCAATCTAACGGTCCGATTATCATAACCCGGATGCAACCAACCATTTGAAGCCAATCTCATGATTCGACTGTTTTCATAAGTTCAAATTATGAAAGGGCTAAAATCTACAGTGTGTCAACTACTAAATAAATTTGGAGAATGAACTACAATCGGCACCTGTCTGAACGTAAATTGTGGTTCCAAGAAAACTCTGACCTCGTGGGAATTCTCGACTGGAACACCGAGCAACATGGCCACACGAGGTCCAAAAGCTGCTGTCGTGCGCCCACGAAGTCCGGGTCTCAGATATATCCCTACATCCGTACGAGGAATGGAAGCCCATGGTCATACTTTGTATCGTCGTATGGTCCAATCCCTTTCGCTCTTTGCGAATTTCCCTCGGTTGGATTTGTATCCAGAAGTGCAGAATAAAGTATGTTCAGAGTACTTTAATAAGAAAAAGTACCAGGTATCGGGTGATGATGTCGTACATACCTCATCTTTATACGTGTATTCACGATCTTCTTACATGGCAGAATATACCCCTACCATCCTCACGCCATGCCATTATTGTAAGCCGGAATAAACTAGAGTACCTGTAATTTTCGAATGACATGTAGACATTCAGATATGTACTATTCCTATCTTGGCAGTAAGGTTACTCATCATTTTACCGTTTATTCCTGTCAACTGGTCGACCCAAGATCTTCCCCCAAAACAAAAATCTGATTTGCATTGAACATTTATGTCATGTATTAAGAACAAACGGGAAAAAATTATCGATGAACGAGAGAGCGCGTTATGGTAACTCTAAACCATGACCGTACTGAGATTAGATCAACTTTTTCACACATGTTGAGATTAATTTCTAACAGGCCCCATTTACCAACCAGCTTATTGTGATGAATGGTGCTAAATCTCTTGCATGACACTGAAAGAGAGGACGACAAACTGCTTTACGAAGTGAAATTCAAGCTGGAGACTTGCATACTTTTCCTCTTTGCTCGACATGAGCGCGGTGGAGTTGGTGAGGCCTGACTTCTTTTCTTTCTTTCCTTTTTCATTCCTGTGAGTTCACTCTTCGTCTGGCCGGGGTCCATCAAGTTGCACGGTGCACTGTGTCAGAGTCGAAGAGGTGGCGAAGATGTATCATGACGCCATTTCATGCCGCTGTCTGGCCCAATTTTGACCCTGGCACTACAAAGCTAGATCGGCAAAGGTTGTCATATGACCATGTTACGTGCGGTCGAATGAAAGCGAAGTCGTCGTTTCCAAACTTCGAGCTTGACTACGGTACAGTATCCGATTGAGGGCTCTGGTCGTCCTTTACGCGTACGACTCGACGAGACTTCACTGTCTGAACATCTGAGTTATGCAGCACGAAGGGCGTATGATGTGTTGAGGCTGATCGGCAGTCAAGCACATCATACTCTCTACTCTGGCTGGTCACCGGTCCCGGCCGGAGAACCTGGGCATCTCGTTCAGAATATTAGGATTAGCCTCACGTCAAATTATGTTAACTGGTGGCGGGGCTTCAGCGAGGCTTTGATTCCTCCACTGTGAACAAAACTTTGACTATCATATTTTCCCACTCGTACAATATCGGTATGATTGGTCGTCTGACTCAAAGCCGAAACTCACTTATGGCAAATTCAAAAGAAGTGTGGGTACTTCCGTTGACTGGAGTGACATTTGCTTCACTTTGCGGCTGGCGATTCTGGCCAATTCTTCGTAGCGGTGGTGGTGGTAGGTGCGTGGACTTCTCGCTCAGTCAAATGTCCAGGAAACTGTTTGATCCATCCAAACTCCGACTCTTGTTTCATTCCCACTCATGTTTCAAACCAACCATGTATTGAGATCGACAAGTGTTAAGAAAATGGACCAATTTTGCTGATGGTGTCATGCTGCACCTGTTCTCCGTCAGTGAGATGCATGACGTGTGTGTGATCCAAAAAATTGCAAAAGTGAAGTTATTGCTACTAAATTACATATGAGTCAAGCAAATGGCAAAAGATGGGAAGACCCCATCAAGCCGATCTAAAGCTATTGCTACTATGTGAAGGGGGTCCAAATGGAAATAAATTTACGTTTAAACCTCATAAAACCATAAAAAAACACAGACAAGGTAGAAATTGAAGGAAAATGTATAGTATCATATTAAGAAATATATTGTACACCACGTAAACAGCGTACTCTGAAAAGTAATGTGAATTTTATCTAAAGATATAACTTCCGATCTAAAGATATCCGATAGTCCCTCACTTTGTGATGGACTATCGGATCCTCTTGTTCACAGTGATCTAGGAAATGTTTATATCGCCAAAGCCGTTGTAGAGGTGAATGATACCAGAAGTTCGTAACCAAGCTCCTTAGAACCACTTGAATTTAGAAGTACCCGAAACTTTGATGTGGTAACAAACCAACATACTAAAAGACTTTTAGCATCCCATTAGTCTTTGACATGGCAGGGTCAGGCTTACTTAGCACCGTCATTCGAAAATATGTGTACCTTTGGTGTCATCAAAAGTCTTCACTCGATTGTAGGGACCCGAACGTAGAACACTGTGAAGGATACGGAGCGTAAAATGTGATATACTTCGATATAAAGTTAGGAACTAAGGGAAGCAATAAATTGTAGGACTCAAGGCCGCTTCCTTTGTTAATTGCCCGAAGTTGATATAGTCCATCTCATGTACATAGTAAAATTACATAAAAGAATCAACCTCATTATTCTTTCAAGAGCACTTGGGATCTAACAACTTGATTTGGCACAAACTTAGGGATTACATGTCTATTCTTTGATTCATTATTCATTAGTTTTATTCTTCTCACAAAATTTCAAATCATTTCTTATAGAAATGTTGCTATTTAACTTCATAACTGTTCATGCTATTAATTGAGAAGTTTGTGATCAATTGATCAATAAATAAAAGATAGAATAAACAACTTATGTCACCAAATTCCATTGTACTTATAAACAACCATCTTCTCTAATAGGCATCTCATGGAGTTTAAACTTCTAGTTTCAAACCGAACTTATTTGTTGATTATACTAACTATAAACTATTAAAATAAGATAATAATAAGAAGTATGCTTAAATTATTAATACAGAAATATTTTTTTAGTCAAAGATGATTGATATATAAGAAGATGATGTTAAAGCTAAGTTAATATCATATTGCACATAAAGCGTGATTTTAAACTAAAATATTGTTGTAATCTTGTTCATAGTAGTGTATCAACAAAACTTCTAGCATAAAAGATACCATATTTTAAATTCATGTCTATCAAGTCTAAACATTCAGCTAATTTTTAATAGATAAACGCATTTAAATAAAAATTAAATTATTATTAAATAAATTATTTTGACAATGAAGT